TATTCCTTTAGAAAACAAAATCATCAAATACAAAACCGGTTTACTACTACGACCCGTGTTATGTACACCATAGGAGAATGATGTTCTTCTTTGCTTCTGTTTCTCACTATCACCTCCCTCAAGGACCACCTGAGCTCGATGTAGCTCTCCTCTCTGGTTGCAGTTGACGTGACTGCTGGCCTCGGCCACTTGGGTTGCACACACCGCTTATACTCTGGGTGTGCGAGGGACAGCAGGGACATGCATGGGTTGTCCAGGAAAGCTCTGACTTGAACATTGGTGAGGCTGCAGGTAAAAAGGGGTTTCACTGCTGCCTGATGTTATTCCAGATCTATGAGATCAGTGAGGTTCCAAGACCTAGATTGACTTAGGAGTCTTCCTGACTCTGAAGGAATCTCGCCACCAACTGATTCGGCTTGCGCCCTTGTGATCCTCTCATAAGTCTTATATCCAAGATCTTTGACTGCCACTTTTCTCTCCTCTCATCTCATTGCAGAGCATTGTCTGCAGAACTGTGTCTCGATGAGCATACCGAGGAAGATCTCCCAGTCTGTCTTTTTTCATTAATCTGAACAACCTCCTTGGCTGACTCTCAGGAGCTCGCTGGAAGAGAACATGCCTCGACCTTTCGGAGAACGAAGTGACTTGACCTTGGTGTTGAACCAATTTGGCAAAAGTAGACTCACGATGAATTGATTAACAAGTTCCCAGGTTGTGAAGCTGGTCTTCAGTTTATGATGAGCGCACCAAATTCAGTGCAGAACCTGAGAGCCGCTAGAGCCACCTAGAATGTGAGATCAGACCTATCTGCAGGTAAGCAAATCTATCAGGCATGACCCCAGTTTGATGGCACTCCACAAATCATGTAACCATAGTACTGGCCAATACTGTGCTGCCAATGACAGTATGTGCAAGCTCAACGAAAGGGAGGGCCAACTGTGGTTTTTTCAAAGCTCAGATTTATTTCTTCAACTCAGTGGCAGAGTCCAGATCTTGCTGAGAGTACTCAGGACCACCTTCTGTTGTTTGAAAGAGTTCTGCTATCCAGCTCCTGGATCAGATGTTTGAGTGGCAACTCACAGGGAGGTCACAAACAACAATCCAGATCAGCTTCCTCCCACCTTCCGGCCTATTCACTGTATGACCCCCCTTGCCACCCAGTGTTCGTGTTGGTGCTGTCCCTCCAATGGCCTGCAGGGTCTGGTCTGATGCTCTCTGAGCCAGTTCACACGTTATCTGCCACTATCTCAGCTGGTTTCCTACGTCATCTTTCTCTGGAGTGAAAATGCCACAAATATTCTCCTGGTTCACTGCAGCAGGAGTAGTGTTCCTCCTTCACTATGGCAGGGAACAACTTGTCAGAATTCCAACTTTCATGAACACTTTAGTGCTTGGTCCCTTCTCCCATCAAAGAACAAACAATTGATTCCATTTTCTTTATCCCCCATCAAACTCCTTCTTCTAGGTTACTGACAAAGTTTCTCCTGAGCTCTCTCTTACTTTGTTATGATCTATCACCAGGTGAACATCACTAGGTGTTATCAAAACCACCGTCAACCCAGGCAGCTGTTGCTATCTCTTGCAGTTTCTCTGGAGACCAGTGTGGTGTGTCGATGCTGGCCAGAGCTATGCTCGATATCTTTCCTATTTCAATCTTATGCCTGGAAGGTCGGGGACTGGCTGGTTTTCAAGTTAGGGACAAAGTCACCATTCTCCTGGTCAGCACTCGGATCAGCCATGGGGAAGTCATTGCTGAACTCTGAATCTCAGCTTGACTCAATCATCGGCCTTTTTACCTCTGGCACCCCTGGGCCTTCTCAAGCTCCTCTTTCCTCGGCAACTCTTCTCCTCTTCTTCTGTCTCTCTTGTGGCAGCTCTCCTGTCTCTTGGACTCGAATATCTTGGCTAGAAATCATGAGAGCCCCGACATTGCCAGTCTTCTCTCTCTCTGTGCTTTGACAAATGCCAGTCTCGATCACAGGGCCCAGTCTACTTTGCAAATACAGGAGATGGGCCTCGGATTTACAGTCACGACAAGATCCAAATCTCAGCACAGAGAACAATTAAGCACTTGCAAGTAATTATGTCAAATAACTGGTCCAGTTGTTACAAAGCTGTCTTAACTGCCGGGGTAAGTTTTTCCCTTCCCAAGAGAGAGATATCTCTTTGCCTTTTCCTTAACTGGCTAGCAGTCTCAAATTAATCTTCTGACTTGTTATGACTGGAGGCTTGAACTGAGCTGCTAGCCAGAGTGTACTGTGCCAAGACAGCTTTGGTCATATCACTGGCAATGTCTTTGTTTGTGTAAGTTCTTTGGTTCTTTTCAATTGATTTTTGCCTGATTAAAACACCGTGATTCTCAAAGCATCTCTCACAATGTAGGCAACTCCACTTCCAGGAGCTCTCCCAGACCCAAGATAGTGGACTGAGATGGCTGGATTTTTGTCTTCGCCCCTGACAAGCAGCCATCGCAAATATTATCAACTTATAAATGCATCAGAATCTGCAACAGAAAAAATATTGTTAGTTGGGTTGTTAAAGAATGAAGTCAGAAAGCACGTTCACTATTTATTTGTACTTGCACTAATGCAGTTGTACGTTAGATTTCGATAAATTTCACGCTTAAAATTCTGCCTAGCAAAAGGTTGCAAAATATTGAAACTGAAATTATTTTCTAGTTTATATATATATTAAAATTCACCAAAAAGTGATAAATATTAGTTTTAGCTGATCTTTCCCTCCTATGATTAATAATCTCTACTGTGACACCACTGACTGCCGTAGGGACCTGAAGGTACCTGTGGCTGTGACACCACTGACTGCTGTAGGTGGGGGCCTGCTGAAGTGTACCTGTGGCTGTGACACCACTGACTGGCTGTAGGTGGGGGCCTGAAGTGCACTCCCCTGCCTGTGGCTGCAGACACCACTGACCCTGCTGCAGGTGGGACCTGAAGTGCACTGCCTGTGGCTGTGACACACCACTGATTGCTGTAGGTGGGCCTGAAGTGCACCCCTACCTGTGGCTGTGACACCACTGACTGCTGTAGGTGGGGCCTGGAAGTGTACTGCCTGTGGCTGTGACACCACTGACTGCTGCAGGTGGGACCCAGTGCACCCCTGCCTGTGGCTGTGACACTGACTGCTGTAGGTGGGGCCTGAAGTGTGTTCCCTGCCTGTGGCTGTGACACCACTGATTGCTGTAGGTGGGGGCCTGCTGAAGTGCATCCCCTCAAGTTCTCGTGACTGTGACACCACTGACTGCTGTAGGTGGGGCCTGAAGTGTACCCCTACCTGTGGCTGTGACACCACTGGATTGCTGTAGGTGGGGCCTGAAGTGTACCCCTACCTGTGGCCAGACACACCACTGATTGCTGTAGGTGGGCCTGAAGGTACCCTGCCTGTGACTGTGTGACACACACCACTGACTGCTGTAGGTGGGGCCCGGGTACCCCTGCCTGTGGCTGTGACACCACTGACTGCTGTAGGTGGGGCCTGAAGCACCCTGCTCAGACTGTGACACCACTGACTCTGCTGTAGGTGGGGCCCCGAAGTGTACCCCCTGCCTGTGGCTGTGACACTCACTGACTGCTGCAGGTGGGACCTGAAGTGCACCCCTGCCTGTGGCTGTGACACCACTGACTGCTGTAGGTGGGGGCCCGAGTGCACCCTCAAGCTCAGGCTGTGACACCACTGACTGCTGTAGGTGGGGCCTGAAGTGTACCCCCCTGCCCGTGGCTGTGACACCACTGACTGCTGTGGTGGGGGGCCTGAAGTGTACCCCTGCCTGTGGCTGTGACACCACTGGACTGCTGTAGGTGGGGCCCAAGTGCACCCCTGCCTGTGACTGTGACACCACTGACTGCTGTAGGTGGGGCCTGAAGTGTACCCCTGCCTGTGGCTGTGCACACCACTGACTGCTGCAGGTGGGACCTGAAGTGCACCCCTGCCTGTGGCTGTAGACACCACCACTGCTGGTGGTGGGGCCTGAAGTGGCACCCTGCCTGTGGCTGTGACACACCACTGACTGCTGTAGGTGGGGCCTGAAGTGTACCCCCTGCCTGTGGCTGTGACACCACTGACTGCCGTAGGTGGGGCCCGAAGTGCACCCCCTGCCCGTGGCTGTGACACCACTGACTGCTGTAGGTGGGGGCCTGAAGGTACCTCCCTGCCTGTGGCTGTGACACCACTGACTGCTGTAGGTGGGCCTGAAGTGTACTTGCCTGTGGCTGTGACACCACCGGTCTGTAGGTGGGACCTGGGAAGTGCACCCCTGCCTGTGGCTGACACCTCATTGACTGCTGTAGGTGGGGCTCAGTGTACCCCTGCCTGCAGTGGCTGTGACACCACTGACTGCTGTAGGTGGGGCCCGGAGGTACCCCTGCCTGTGGCTGTGCACACCACTGATTGCTGTAGGTGGGGCCTGAAGTGTAACAAATTCTGCCTGTGGCTGTGACACCACTGACTGCTGCCTGGCTGTGACACCACTGACTGCTGCAGGCCGGTGAACATTTAAAACACTGTACGTGTTTGAACATTATAAAATGCATGCCAGCATTTCAACCAAATGTCTCATTCCCAGAGGCAATGTTCTCCTTATGCTGTACTCTAATATAAGAGTACTGTTTTGTTTGATTCTGTTATTTTCCTATACATCTTGGTGTATGTTAAAGTGTAACTGCTCTGTATAACATAGTAATAGTCATCCAATTACACTACAACTGATTTTCATGAAAACTTGTGTATAATTCTCCAGAAAGTGACAAAATACCCATTTTGACCAGTTTTGGCTTACTTGACCTTCAAAATTACCTTTAAGGTCCAAGTTCAGGGTGGCATCCACCCACATATTTTCTCCTACCCCATATTCAATTGACCCGGCATGGATGTATAATTTTAACAGCAAATATAAAGTCTACCGTTTTTGGTAGGTAACCTCAAGATCCATTAGCTGACCACTACAGTACAGAATAACGTATTAAATAATTCAGTAGAAAAATAAATCCTTTTGTATACATTTATTTATCAAAAAGCAAATTTAAGGCAACATACTTCTTTTTCCTCGTTGAAGAGTTGTTCCTTGAAGAAGGGCCCGGGTCGTTCCCTACTGAAGGGCCCGGGTCGTTCCCTACTGAAGGGCCCAGGTCGTTCCCTACAGAAGGCCCCGGGTCGTTCCTGACTGAAGGTTCCGGGTCGTTCCCTACTGAAGGGCCCGGGTCATTCCTTACTGAAGGATCAGGTGCTCTTGTTTCATAAATTTCCTGGGATGAAGTGACTTCATTCACCATACCATCATTCCTTGGATATATAAACATAATTAGGAAAACGTATACAGTACTGTATTACATATCTACAAGTGAGCACAGTACAGCATGCCCTTAAAATTCGTGGGGGCAAGGTTCTCAAAATGGTCACGAATCACCAAATCCGCAAATAACATTTGCTGACCAGGGAGGGGGGGGGCATTTTTACTCGTGTACTAAGAAATGTATATTCCCTTTATGTGTTTGTTCTTTACTTTTATCCTCTTCACCACTGATCGGCTCGTTAGCCGCTTGGGCGATCGGTCACGTCTCTGATTAATTTTCTCTTTCTTTTATCCTCTTCACCAAAAGATCGTCTCGTTAGCCGCTTGGGCGGTCGGTCACTCTTTTATCCTCTTCGCCACTGATCGGCTTGTTAGCCGCTTGGGCGATCGGTCACGTCTCTTTTCATTTATCTTCTTCACCAAAAGATCGGCTCGCTAGCCGCCCGGGCGATCGGTCACGCCTCTGTCACGCACTGTTGGCATGCACCGGCTCCTGAATGTACCTGAACCCACTCCAGTGTTGGTCAAGTCTTCTCTTGAAAGAGCTCACACTCGGTGCCGTCACAACACTCTCTGGTAGATTGTTCCAAGAGTTTACAACCCTCACTCCGAAAAAGTTTGCCCTCACGGTTTTCTGGACTTGCGGCTTCTTCAATCTTGAGCTGTGACCCCTTGTGGGGTGAGCGTCAACCAGCTCCAAGTAAGGACACTCAACTGAGTAGTGCCCCCTGAGATGCTTATACACCTCAACTACGTCCCCCCTTGCCCGTCTGTAGTACAGTGAGTTCTGCTAAAACGCGTGTTTTGATAACGCGAATTTGCTCTAACGCAATTTATGAATTAGGAACAATATTTGTATAACGCGAACGCTTGTTTGCTATAACGCGATTTTTGCTTACAATTTCTCCAATTTTGTGGTATTAACTGTGAATATGGTAAAGAACAATATCTCCAAAAAGCGTTCTGATGATAGAATTCCCGGTGATTATCGTAAAAGAAAGGATATACACTTGAAGAGAAGCTCGATGTTATCAACCTCAAAATCACCCTTCTCCCCCATCAAGCTACACTCATATTTTTTCAAGGTAAAGTGTTACATTTACTGTATGATTTCATTATTAGATATGAATGTAACATTTATTTAGACTGTGCTATCCTTTGTGTTAGGCTAACTACGAAATTTTTTCGATTTCGAGTAATCTGCACCTAACCCTATTTTCTCCATAAGCCCTGTTATTTCTATTACGCGATTTTCTATAACACGATATTTTACAAGAACACAATTATCGCGTTATAGCAGAACTACCTGTATAAGCTATGCAAGTTCAGGCGCTCCAATCTCTCAGGGTAGCTGAGGTGCCGAAGTGCAGGCACCAGTCTGGTGGCCCTCCTTTGAACATTTTCAACCAACTGACAGTCCCTAGCATATCTCGGGGACCAGATGGGGTGACAGTACTCCAGATGGGGAAGCACTTCACTCCTGAAGATCGTCACGAGGGACGGACCGTCTAGATATCTGTACGATCTTCTTATAAGACCCAATAATTTATTTGCCTGATTTACCTTCTTCTCACAATGGCCCGAGAACTTCAGCTCATTGTCAACATACACACCTAGGTCCTTCTCACACACAGTCTCAACTAGTGCATTTTCTTCATCCCGTTGGGACATATGATACGCCTCCTTACCGTTGGTACGCTCCAGGTGCATCCTCTTACACTTCGTGACATTGAATCTCAGCAGCCATTTCTTTGACCATTCCTGGAACCCACAGAGGTCCTTCTGCAGCTCTTCACAGTCCACTTGGTTCTTAATTTCCCGAAATAATTTGCCATCATCGGCAAACATTTGTATGGAGGAGTGTACAACGTCAGGCATGTCATTTATGAGACAAACAAACAACAGAGGGCCCAATACACTGCCCTGTGGTACCCCACTTGTTACAGGTACAGATGACGATTTCGTGCCATTAATCACCACACATTGCTTGCGGTCATGTAGAAAGTCTTCTATCCACGCTAGGACATTTCCCCGAATTCCGTACCCTTCCAGTTTGATTTTCAGCCTTTCGTGGGGTACACTGTCGAAAGCCTTGGCAAAATCTAGGTAAATATTGTCGATATTACCACCCCGTTCCAGAATATGGGTCCAAATATCCAATACCTTGAGCAATTGTGTTAAGCAAGAGCGCCCCGGCATAAAACCGTGTTGGCAATCTTTTACAAGGTTGTTTCGTAGTAGATGTTCCATCGCGGCATCTCTGATAATACTCTCAAGTACTTTACATATTATGCTGGTCAGGCTCACCGGTCTATAGTTGTTCGTGGAGTGACTATCGCCCTTCTTGAAGATAGGACTCACATAAGCCACTTTCCATTCACTGGGGACCATTTGTTCATCCAGGCATTTACAAAACAGGAGCTTCAGGGGCTCTGCAAGCTCATTGCACAGCTCTCTTAGCACTCTAGGATGCACCATGTCAGGTCCGGGACTCTTATGGACCTTTAGCCTGGACAGTTTATTTCTAATACCCTCTTCTGTGAACACAATGTGGGTCAGTGCTGTGTCGAACCGTCTGTCCTCAAACGCAGGAAGGTTAGTTGCATCCTCTCTTGTGAACACTGAGGAAAAGAAGCTGTTCAATGCCTCAGCTTTATCCTGGTCAGAATCTGCGTAACTACCATCTTCAAGCCTCAGGTCTGATACTCCTACTCGCGTTTTCAATTTCGACTTTGCATAGCGGTAAAACGCCTTTGGGTTTGACTTGACCTCGCGTGCAACCAGCATCTGGAACTCCTTTTCAGCCCTTCTACACTTTACCTTTGCTTGGTTTCTGGCTCTTGTATACATCCTCCTGTCTTGCTCATCGTTTGACCCAACCCACGTCTTGAATTTCTGGGTTTTCTTCTTAATTTTGTCGACCGCCGCATGGTTCATGTGTAGGGATCCCCTAGTATTCTTAGAAGCACTGGGTTTGGTCTTGGGTATATATTTATCGATCAAATGGGTCATTTTACTAGTTATGATATTCAGCGTAGTGTCTGCGTTCTTGTACCTTAATAAGTCAGGCCAGTTGATACCCCTCATCTCTTCCCTCATCCCATTGTAATTTCCCTTGTAATATTTGCACCTTGGCCTGGCCTTATCTTGAACTAGGTAACAGTTAAATCTGAATGACAACACTGTATGGTGACTGGTGCCAACTGGGGCAAGGTGTTCCAGTTTGGCCACCATACCCTCCTCGTTTGTTATGATGAGGTCTAGTGGCTTGGGTGTTTGCTCCCCTCTGTAATGTGTTGGGTCTCTAACATGTTGGAACAGAAAATTATCTCTCAGAGTTTCCACAAAAAGAGTAGCAGGGTTATTCAAGTCATTCGGGGTGGACTCGTTTCTCCAGTCGATGTCGCCATAGTTAATGTCCCCCCATGATAAGGAGGTGGCTAGGGTTGAGCATTGCCACATTGTTTATTAAGGTTCTTAAGTTCCTTTGATTTAGTGGGCTACAGTTTGGGGATCTGTAGATACACCCAACGATAAGTAAGTCCCCTCCCTTTAATTTAATTTTACACCACTTGGACTCTTCAAAAACATCCTCTCCCTGTACCCTCGCCTGGCTGGCTCTAAGGTCTTGCCTAGCGTAGATAACCACACCCCTCCTGCAGGATTCTTGAGTTAGGTTCGTAAATGAGTCATATCCAGCAATACTGAACTCACATTCCTCTGGGTCGATTCTCCTGTTCTTGTACAACAGTTCTACAACTCCTACAATATCTGGTTGGTGTACTCTTAGTAGTGTTTCAAACTCCTCTCTCTTATCAAGGAACGTGTCAGTATTAGTGTACATGACACTCAAGCCAGAAATTGTTCTCGGTAACGTCTCTGCTCTTAGTAATAAACCCGCTCCACCCACATTCTCAGAAGCTGCAGCATTTGCTAAGTACACTGTATTTTGCAGGGTGTGGTTAGAAATGTCAATGTTTACAAGGCGCTCGTTCCCTCCTGTCCGGTAGGCTGAGCTGGTGCCGCCTCCTGGGTGGGGGGTTGAGTGGGTGGAGGGTGCACTGCTGCTCCCTGGCCCTGTGTCGGCACACTTGTTTCCACTACCCTCCCCCTGAGTATAACCCATGTACACCTGTCCCCGTTCCTCCTCAACTCCTCCCTCTTCTGCTTCAAGTCCTGCAGGAGCTTCTTGTGCTGCTCCCTCTGCATTACTGTGCGGTCTGGGTGAATGAATACATCCCGAAATGCCTCGCTCCTTGCTAAGTTTTTTGCCTGCCAAATAACTTGCCATTTCTCCTCCTCACTCACTAGTGTGATCCTGAGGGGGCGAGGCTTAGCCCCCTGCTTTTGTCCCAGCCTCCTCACATCCTGAGGGGTTGCTGGAATCTTCAGAACCTCTGTGCAAATATTTTGAAACAGCACCTTATCGTGTGTTTCCTTACTCACAGATCCCTCCGCCTGGCTCTCTGTGACTCCAAAAACTATTACATTGTTCCTGCGCTGGAGCCGTTCCTGGTGTTCCTCCTCTCCCCTAACCGTAGGTCCGTTAATTTTCATTTCTTCGACACACTTCTTCAAAGTCCCAATCTGCTGTAGAACCTGTACTGATTCTGCATTACTCTCCGCCCCCCCCCGTGGCCCTCCTAATACGTCAGCATAACTCCTCTTAGCAACCACCTCCATTCTATCAGCTACTTCCTCAGTCTTAGCAAGGATCTCTTTCCCAACTTACTCCAGTTTGTCAACCAGCAGGGCTCCTGCTTCATCTATTTTCGTCCCTAGAGAACGCGTTCCCTTATGGCTTGCAATCGCTTCATTCATTTCTTAGGGCAAATTCTTCTTTTACCTGTATTATACTGTATAAATGTGTGTGTGTGTGTGTGTGTGTGTGTGTGTATGTACACACACACACAAAACACATACAAATACAAACTAATGGCAAAAATCCTCTCACAAATAATCAGAAACAAGACAACAAAAATGCTTTAAT